TCCTGGTTAAGCTGTTTACGAGACCAGGCAATATAGTTTACTTCATGGGACATAAAATACTACTATAAGCCACTGTTTTTCTCCTATCAGGTACACAGCAAAATAAATCAATGGAAGAAAAATCTCAAACATCTGGCCTGTCACCACTTTTCCTTCCCAGATTATCCTTTTCTTTTCTCCAGAGGAGGTTTTCATTTTATATTCAGATTAAGATAGTTGTTCCTACCTTATATAACATCTTGTACCAAAGAATAGCTATTCTGTCATATCCAGACAAAAGGAGGAAGTAGAAGCAAAACTGAGAAAGTGAGGGATGCATTTTCAATATAATTATAGTTTAGGAAACTGAAGGCTTTATACAACAGAATATTATGAGTGAGTTTTTCCTGGAGGGGGCAGGAGAGAGAGAGATTGAGAGAGAGAGAGAGAGATTGAAAGAGAGAGCGAAGATATTTTGGTTGAATTTTTTCTGTAATGGAGACATGATTGCAGGTTATTAAGTAAAGCCCTGGACAACATAGAATTCATCTCTAATACTGCTTTGATGGAGTTTGTAACCTCTACAATCTGGAGAAAATTGGCTGGTGCTATCTATGCCAACATGTATCACACAGCTGTTCCATCGACGGATCTTATACATCCTGTTCATTCTATGCTATTCTTAAATTCCTTGAACCAGATAGTTATGTGGAAGGAATTTGCTAGTAACAAAAACTGAACCTTCTTAGCATTCTAAAATTGGTACTTTTGAACAGAAATTCAAAATTAGTGGGAGTCAAGACATCAACATTTTCCAGTTAATTCTCAGCCTGAACACTTCATTCTGTATTAGACCACCATCTGTTATGGATTTGCCAGGAAGTTATAAATAAAGGCATGAAGAAAGTATGTCAGAGGGAATTAAGGGGTGCTGAGGAGATTAGTGATCTGTTTTGACCTGAGAGATGTGATGGTTGTAGGTCCAGCAAACTCAACTGGCTTTCTACAGTTTTAGCTTACAGGTGATTTGGGATGCTGTTACATGTGTGGATAGGAGCAAATGGCTGAATAACAGATTCTCACTCCAGAATCTTACAAATGCTCTAGTACCATGCACTTAGAGTAACTAATTTTAAGAGAAGCTTCCTTACTTTTGTGGGAAGAGGCATTGGAACAGAGGTACAAGGTCATATGGAACAAATGGGGACTACTTGACTTTGACTTTCACATCATTGTTGTTTATTCGTTTAGTCGTGTCCGACTCTTCGTGACTCCATGGACCAGAGCACGCCAGGCCCTCCTATCTTCCACTGCCTCCCTTCACGTTGGTTGCTTCGCAGACACTGTCCAGCCATCTCATCCTCTGTCGTCCCCTTCTCCTCTTGCCATCACACTTTCCTAACATCAAAGTCTTTTCCAAGGAGTCTTCGCTTCTCATGAGATGGCCAAAGTACTGGAGCCTCAGCTTCAGGATCTGTCCTTCCAGTGAGCACTCAGGGTTGATTTCCTTTTGAATGGATAGGTTTGTTCTCCTTGCAGTCCAGGGGACTCTCAAGAGCCTCCTCCAGCACCACAATTCAAAGGCATCAATTCTTCCGTGGTCCACTTTCTTTATGGTCCAGCTCTCACTTCCATACACCACGACAGGAAAAACCATAGCTTTGACTATTCGGACTTTTGTTGGCAAGGTGATGTCTCTGCTTTTTAGAATGCTGTCAAGGTTTGTCATCACTTTCCTCCCAAGAA